GTAAAATATTTATGTGGATCTATAATACTTAATTTAATAAGAGTATCATTAATTTAATTTTGGCTATTTATTGTTTAGCCTATTTTTTATTTCAAGATTAACCCTTCCTCATACCCTTTTTCGTTGTAATTAGATTCCCAATATCAAGGCTGTCTTAAATGGATATGAGTAAAAATTTTAATTTGAACTTACTATTACCAGTTACTAAAAATAAATTTCAATGAGGGAGTATATTTCAATTACCCTCTAAATATAATTTTTTTTAATCTGAATATTTTGTTATTATAAATTCAAAACCTAAATTAAAAATTCTGTAAAATACTCTTTTGTAAAAGTGATCTATTCCATTAGAGTTCTCAATTATTTCTTTAATTTTTTGTTTTTGATTTTCATTAAAAGAACTGACATAATCTTTTACATCAAATTGCAAAATCATTGAAAATACAAGTTCGTTTGAAGCTATTTTATTAATAGCCGGATAATCCATGTAAGAAGAAAGTTTTTTGCTGAGTGTCAAAATGCTAGAGAATATTAGATTTATAAACTTTAGTAAGGAAGAGAAAGATCCAGCTGGCTAGCATTTAAAACGCTCACTAGGCGGGGGTTTAAGATCTATTAAAAGAGAAGGTGAAAGCAGCGTTCCGGCAGCTAAGTAGGTACAGCAACTGTACGTGTGAGCGAAAGCGCCTAGCAATAACTGCCAGGAGGTCGCAGGATCGAAGCCTGCCCGGTATTAAACTTGAATCGCGCTCTCTTACTCTTTTTTAAAGCTAAGCTTTTGTTTACACACAAAATACACTAATGTTCAAATCCAAATTAAAAATTTAACAGATTAAACCTAATTTTATCTTCTATCAAGCCTAATTGATCTGGCTATTGAAAATTATGTTTACCTGCAACCACCTCGGAACAATAAATATTTTTGAGCAAAAGATCTGTTCTTTGATATATCTGTATATCCAGCTAAATTTAGTACTGCATCCTTCTTTTCACATGAATCAACCCAAGAATTCTGTAGAAATGTCATGAACGGTCTATGAAGCAAATGATCATCTGACTGAATTTTAAAAATTCCTTTTTTAATTTTAAAGTAGTAAAATATTAGCGTGCAGTTTTCGGTTAAGGGGGGTTTCTGATTCAAATTTTTCGTACGTGTTTATTCTTATTTGAAGCTGAATTTTTGAAAAAAGTGATCGTCGAGTTAATGATTGACATATTTGGGATAGGGTGGTTTTCTACACTATTTACAGGGAATCTCCCTATTTTTGTCCTTTTCGCCCTATTTCTCGTTCTTAAATTCACAAAATTTTCGCCTATGGCGCCTAAAATGAGAATACTGGCTTATTTTTTCCAGTTCGTCCAATTCCAAATCCCATCCAATTCATAAATCTGAACTTTACGGTTATTCTTTCAGTTCCGGATATGCGGAGATTTCTCAGAATCCGCCAACCTTATTCCTGACTCACTGATTCTGATTTGCTCAATTTAATTGAAACTTTTTGATAAATTTCTGGGTGGCTGCGCTCTATTTTAGTTTCTGTACAAGCCATCCTTATTTGGAAGTAAATTGATAAAATGTGTTTTTATTGTAGAATGTAAATTCCCTTAATATTTTAATTTTACTACCTTGTTATCAAAAATTTTCATAAATTGAAGTTTTGTTCCATAAAAGAATCGTCCATTGAGAAAATTTTTAGAAATGCCCTTACTATCTTCCTCAAAGAATATTTTATTAAAATTGAGTTTTTCCTTTCCTTCACTCAAATAATAAATTAATTGACGAATTAGTCGCAAATCCTAAATATACAGAATATTTTAATAATTATTGTCAGAAACTCATGTAGAAAGAATCAGATTTTTACATGATCTTGATGAGTTTAATCAAGTTCCTTAGTGACAAAAATCAAAAATTGTTGAGAGTTTTAAGTCAATTTTTCTAATGTTAACACAAACGTAACCCGGAAATATCTTAACTACCCAGAAACGGTACATATAACGTTATAAAATTTGAAAGCTTTAACCTCATAGCTTTGGGTTGCAGCAACCTGCATTATTAAATTGTAACGTAAATCGTGTGCCCATATTTCACTATTAGTTTGGAGTATTTTAATTATCTCAGTTGCAAAGTAAACATGTTTTGTTAGTAAAAATCCTCTCATAAATTCTTTAAAGAATTTGTTTTCTGAATGTAAAATAATAAAAAATACAAAGGAAATATTTACTTTTCAATCCCTATTTGTTTTTCTTAATAAAATGTGTACATTACTATTATTACTCTGTTGTATACTCAGCTTTATTTAATAATGAGATATTATTGCAGGCCCGGTAAACAATATAATTTTTTCGGACCATATATCCTTAAGTTCGTCATATCCTATTATTTTTGCAAACGTATGATATCCTTTCTAAGATATTCAATTCTAAATATAAATTGAGAAATAATAGTACCCAAGTTTAATACCCAAGTTTAACCACTACAGTGAAACTGTCTTTTCGGAAATTATATCTCATTTACTTGTCACAAAAATATCTCATTATCTTAATAAAAATTTATGTTGCGGATTCAGTTGTCCCAAGATTTTCTAGGATCCGCTAACCCTCCTTAGGTGGTATTAGTGTTGGATAACCAAATGTCATATGCACCTTGTCTTTCCTCGGATACCACTTGAATATAATTTGAATATATTGCTTCGACACATTTGACATAATTTTGTGCATTTGAAAGCAATTCAAGATGCTTATCGAATTCAAAAATTTTTAAATGATAAGAGCTTGATTGAACCTTTAAAATTATAAAAAATTAATATCAATTATTCACAACAGTATTTAGTGTTTTTTAACTTACCAGCTCTGTTTCAATACAATAATCAAATATACCACCAAAACGATAATGGCCATTGAAAAGTGAAAGTCCTTCGAACAAATTGTAGAGGGCCTCGTTAGTTGGACTATTTCGATATTTTGGCAAATTTTCTTTTAAAAAATTCTTTAATTGAAGTCGAAGCGATTTGTTAAAATAATTAATTTCTTTACAAAAAGCTTCATTTCCAATTAAAAGAATAAAAATTAAATTGAAAAGAATTTTGATTTTTGGAAGATTGGCGGGAAAAATTAAGGAGAAGAAGCTATTTAGCAGCATTCCTAAATTTTTTTTATAAAAAATTTGAGATTAAAAAAACACTCATTGAAAACACTTAAAAACACATTTGAAATAAACCCCATAAAAACTTTAAAAATAAATTAAGGAGAGAGATTTACTTGAAGAATTAATGATAGACTTTTTTTAATTACTCACTCATAAAAATTAAAATTAAACATAATAAAGTTAAGTAAAATGGCAAATTAGGGCAATTTAGATAGAGTATTATATATTGCTTAATTAGCTATTAATTTCTTAAGTAATTTCTCAATTATAATATTATTATGGCGGATGTTTACATAAAAGGAAAAAGTGCAATGTCTAATGATACATATGCACTTTTAAAATTTTATTTAATTGCTTATGAAATAAAATCGGGATTTATTTTTTAAAAATAAATTATATATTGACATGAGATTCTATTTTTCCAATATATATTTTTATAAATTTGTACATCTTAAGAAATTTCAAACTAAAATTATTTCTGTACGATTCTGTACAAAGTTCGTCCATTCCATTTTAGTCATACATTAATCGTAATATTATTAATATTTTAAAGTAGGGGAGGTATTTCGGAGGTATTTTTAGGAGGGGAGGGGGGGGTATATGGGGAGGTACATATTTTAAGAATAATTAATATCCTTATCAAGGTTATCATATAAAAAATTTTTTCAGCAAAAGACTGGAGTAATTTTCTGTAAATTCCTAAAACATTTAAGTGAACATAGGTATGTACATTAATCTAACTTTTATGAAAATATTAATGAACTTTAGGTCCCCCAACAAATCGGTACAAATTAACAGATGTTTATTTACATTTTATTTACGTATTATTTTCTAGTTTATAAAAATTATTATATCTTTTTACAAAGTTTTTTTTCTATTTTTTTTAAATTTTTTATTTAAAAATTAGTATTTTCTTTTAATCATCTTGCCCCAAAAAAATTTAGTTTTAAAATTATTTATTGAATTATTTGTTTTATATTCCTTTCCGAAATAGATCTTATTAATGATTAAAATTTAAGATATAATAATTTATTTAACTAAAATCCTGTTATTGAATAAATCTAGAATAAATTTTTTTAGCTAAATAATTAATTTATTTGGTCAATTAATTAATTACATATTAATTTAATTTTAAAAATTAAAAATAATGTAGAATTATGTCTGTTGGCTTAGCTACATCTAGTGGAGTTGCTAAAAATTTATGGCCTTCCTGGGAGGCTATTTCCCTTTCAAATTTGATCCATAATTATACAGATAATTTAATTTGGAGTTTATTTTTGACATCTACAGGTATTTAAATATTTAAATAAAATTTTAATAAATATTTATTTTTGAGCTATTCATGCTATTTTGCTAATAACCAGTCCAGTGTAAAAAATATTTTTATAAAACTATAAAATTTAAAATAGTCAGGCATTATTTAAATGGTATAGACGACAAAGCAGTGATGGAGATACACCCATTCCTTATCTGGTATTTCTAGTTCAAATTAAATTCTAGGGTATAAAAAAATTATTTTATATTTACTTCAGTTAGAACTTTCCAATTTGCCTGGCCCGGTACCCGGGTTTTTTCTACAACGTTGACTGGGCCGGGTTTTCCAGGCTAAAACCTGAAACCCCGGAAAAACCGGATTTTATCAAAATACCCGGTTCCGGGCTACCGGGCCCGAAAAACCCTGTCCCTGGCCCGGATCGGGTTCTAACTATAATATTTAGTGTGCCGTTCTGGGATCACTTCTTTGGTTCCGCTACTCAATTTTTATTAAAGACCTCAAATTAATATTACTTCAGGTTAAATTAACTCAATTTTTAATAAAAATTATTTTCTTTTAAATTAGGGCTATGCAGTTTTTATGCAAACATTCTTTCTATTAGCCTTGCTATATTATCGAAAGAAAAAAGTTTTTAATTAAAAAATAATTAAATTATATAAATATTTAATTTTAATTAACAGCACAGACTTCTCCGTTTAATTTTAGCAATTTTTGTAATTGTTGGTAATCTAAAATATTTTTAGAAAAATATTTCTTTAAATTTAAGCCGCTCTATTTATTATTATTTATCATCTTCCTCCTGATCTTGGAAGGGAGGTTTGGAAAATTCGAAATAATTACTGACTATGTTTATCCTATAAAATTTTAGATAACTGGGATTTGTGCAAGTGCTGCCCAAATTGCTGGTTCCTTTGTTTGTCCTTATTTAATTGTTTGTTCTCTCATTTGAAAAAATTAATTTTACTTTAAAGTATAAAGCGATCTCAAGAAAGTTTATCGACTTTATTCCTTTTGCACCTGTTGCCTTTACTTGGTGGGTTTTAGCGTTTAAAAATTAAAATATTAAGTAAGGATTTTAGTAAAAATAAATCCTTTACGAAATGCAAAAAATTGTAGGTCCCAAAAACTGAAAATTATTTCTAAATTTAAATTAATTATTCAAGGATTATGGAAATACATGCAATTGTTTGTTATATTTTAAATATTTATTTTTAATATTTTCAACTTTAGATATACAGTATTGCAATTAACGATATTTATTTAATGGTATGTAGAATAATTTAATTATATAGGGATATCTTGATATAACTGACAAATTCACATTTTTGTAATTTCTAATTCAGCATTTAGAGTGTTAAATGAGGGGACAGTTTATTAGGGAGCAGAGATTGGGGGAATACGGGGACCGAGCCCACGAACTTCCGTCGAGGAATTATTAAAATGTACGTTACTTTAAAAAATTCAATTTTAAGTAATTTTGAGAATCTTTCAATTATTATTTATTAAATATATAAATTTGCGAATGTTAGAAGGCTAGAATTCATAATTCTTCCCTCTTAAAATTTCAAATACCTAGTCAAAAATATAGTCAAAAAATTTTTGAAAAATCCAAAAAATTTGTCTGAAACCCCATTTCAAAATTCCTTAGTCATTAAATAAATGTAAATTAAAAAATATTTTTAATAGATAGCAAATTCAGTTTTCTTTACTATGGACAGTTTACTTCTTTCAATGTTTTTTATTTATCCAACCGAAAGAAAAGAAAATAAACAAAAATATAAATTATTAAAAGTTAAAAATTATTTAACTAGATATATTTAATTAAATATTTTTCTGGATAATATAAAATATTTTTCATTTATTTAATTTTGGAAAAACCTGTTGTATTAAATAATTTGGTGCTTAGGTAGTCTCTAATAAGATAATAAATCGAACCCTGAACCTCAATAAGAAATTTAAATATTTTTAATTAGAGTAGAGCTTTCGGGATTCGGGTCGGGGTTTTTGACAAGAAATTTGTCGGGGGTTGGGTTGTGTTTCGGAGAACGCTATCCTATTTTAAACAATATTGAAGAAAAATATTTGTGAATATTTTGGAAATAATTTTAAATAATTTTTACTATCAATAATTTACAAAAATTTATAAAAAAAATTTAGCAATCAGCCTGTAAATTTTGTAAAATAATTAATTAATTTATTTATTAAAAATATTTATTTATACTTACAACAAAATACATACATATCCTGTCATAAATTCCCACAAAACAACATTAACACAAAAATTAAACAAAAAATATTTAATATTAAAGTTTATAATAACATTTATTACGGGAATAAATTTATTTTAGTTTTTTTATTTAAAAAAATATTTTTGAATATTTTCTAAATTCTTATAGAATTTGCAAATTTTTAATTGTCAAAATCTACAAAAATTAAAAAAATTTTTAATTTTTAATTAATTTCCGTAAAATATTTAAACAAAATTATGTAAAAACCAAAAATAAATTTACAGTTTTTTAATATAAAATAAAATATTCAAAATTTTAAATAATTTAAATGTCTAATTATAATTTTAAGAATTTTTTTAAATTTATTTTAATAAATGCTTGGAATCTAAAAAATTATTTCCACAATTTTTTCTAAATAAATTTATTATTAATTATTACCAAATTAGTGAACAAAAAAATTTTATTATTTAGAATAATTTCGACTAAAATTTTTTAGGTAATTTAATTAAATATTAATATTTTTAGCTTTATTAATTAAATTTAATTTTCCAAATAATTCCTTTTCACCTTAATTTACAAGAAAATTTTCATATTCTTTCAAAAATAAAATTTAATAAAATTTTAAAACTAAAAATAGCAAACATCTGCTAATCTACTTGGAAATTTATTCGTTAAAAAAAATTAAAATATTTAAAAAAGAATTTTTTAAACATTTTTTAACATTTAAAATATTATTTCCTTAAATTAAAATTAGAAAAAAAATTTTTTTATTAAAATGTATGAACAAAATCATCATAACCAAACGGTTTATTTTATTAAAAATTTCCATACTAAATTAGTAAATTTAAATTTAAGTTATTTGATATTTATGGAGAGCAAGGACTTCCTATAGAATTAATTATTTTAAATGTTTTGAGGACAATAATTGCAACTATGGGGATTTTGTTTAATAGTACCTTGGTTTTTGTTACAGCAAAAAGCAAGTTAGTAATTTATTAAATAAGATCTGGATCACATTATAATTTTTGAAGATATATTTATAAAAGAAATTTAAAAATTAATAAAAGGAAAAAGTTGAGAATTTTCAAAAAAATTATTCACTAATCCAAAGTACAGGGTGACAAAATAGTAACCGGGCACTTTATTTTTGGCATAACTTTTTTCAATTAAAGATAATGAGATCAAATAAGAATGAAATTATAGAGAAATAAATTGAGAATAAAATATAAAAATCTTTTAGAATTTTTCCTATTCTACTTTGAGATAAGGTTCAAGGAAAGTGAGAAAAATTATTGCTCCAGGTCGCACCTTTTTTTGAGACATTTTGCCTATAACATTAGAATAGATTGCAGGAATTAGACAAAATTTTTTCTGGCATCTAGAGCAGTCCTTTATCTATAGAAATTACTAATCAAAAAATTTTTTGGATTAACGCTTAAAGAGATATTCGATTGCGCGTAACCCTCCGAAAATGAGAAAATCGCATTCCCCCCAAAACTGATTTACATATACTCATAGCCATCCATGTAGGAGTTGGAATTTTCATCATCCAGATTTGTCCGGTTCGCTAATGATCTCAATTAAATTCTGCTGAGATCATCCCGTTTGGACTTCTCCTTTCTGAGATACAGAAACTAAAATTTTAGGGGGAAAATTTTGATATGGTGTACCTAAAATTACAAACTTTCTTAATCTTTAATCAAAAATTTTTTAATTTTACTATATGATTGAGAAATAAATGGGCTACAAAATAAACTTGGATTTTCTAAAAATTATATGAACAAAAAAAGTTATAAAGGATAAAAAAGTGCCCGGTTATTTTTTTGTCACCCTGTAATCAAATATTTGCTAAATAGGAGAAATCTTTTTATAACTTTTTGCTGTTGAAAAAATAACTTGACGCGAAGCTCGGGGTTTTGAAACCAAAAATCTCGGGGTTAAATCTATATATTCTTAATTTTCTCACAAAAAAGGAAACTCAACTCTCCTTGTCATCTCCTAATAGCTTTTGAATGCCTTGTGTCTGGATGGTACCAATTAGGTAGTTGGGCCTCGATTACTGTGTTATTTGGTGCAGGCCATCAATTTATCCCTATACGTCCCTGTTGTCTTCAAATAATTCCCCCATTTATATTTGGATTTACATCTTCATTTACTTGTATTTATTTAATATCTTTGGATAGATTAATTGGTGTTTTATTTCCTATATGGTTTGTTTTTAATTGTAATTTTGAAATTAAATTTAAATAATATTAAATTTCAAGGTATAGTCAGAGAGAAAATTCAAAGAAAACCCATATTCTATTAATGATAGTTTCCACATTAATTTGTGGTACAATCTTTGTCTACACAGATTATAATATTGTCTATACAATTTCTGAAACTATGTATGCTTATTAAAATAATAATTTTGTAGGGACGGATGATGCCAGGTTTGCGGTTTTAGTAGGTTGTAGGGAAATACTGGAGGCAAAAATTTGAATTGTCACGGCGAGTTGTGTTTTATGATAATACTACTTCGAAAAAACTTATATGTATGTAGTAGCATAGCAGTGGCAACATATGTAGTAGCAACAGCAGTGGCAACATAATTTAATTTTTTCCCTGTTAGCTAGGCTGTCGGGCATTAATTTTTTAATTCGAAATATTATCTTGCATATGTCAAATCCGAAGATTTTTAATTTGTTAAATTTATTTAAGTTAATCATTATTAATTTTAGTCAAGTAGTTTGCGTCCCTCACGAATGTTTCTGGGGATGGGCAGCAGATTTGGTTTATATGTTCTTCGCAATATTTGTTGTTTTATCTTTTATAAATTATGTTTTTGTTTGGATTGTACTTAGATATCGCTCAACAAAAAACACTAACAACAATTTATGTAAATAATTATCAAAAATTTTATAAATCTGTTAAAATAGCTGTAAAATTTTTTTCCTAATTATTTCAACCAAAGCTTTAGACAAGTGACATTTAATCGTTTCAATAACATTTATAGAAATACATATATGTAGTTGAAATCCACACGAATGTCGGAAATTTCAACAGAGATTTTTCCTGGCCCACTCTACAAATTAAATTTCTTTAGTGAAATATAACAATTGTATTTTGAAAAGCCAAATAAGTGAAAAAACGGAGGAATGTTACCAAAATTAATTTAAAAATTTTTAATTTTTAAATTTAAATTAAGCTTCTTCGTATGCATGGTCCCAGCGTATTTTGAAAACATTGTGTGTAATTATGTTTTTTAATTTTGTTGGCCTTTCAATGAATAGTATTTTACGTTTAACCCTTCCCCGCTTGAATTTGAACATCACACAGAGGGCAATAGCAATGCATTCTTTGAGTTGTTTAACTGTTACAGTTATGTCTTCGAATGCTCCTATTCTCTTTATTCACAAGTTTGTACTTAATTATATAATTAGAAATCTGGCAATTTTTCCACTTTAAAAATCCTTAGGGGCATAGAAAAGCTACGAGTAATCGGAAATGAAGGAACTAATTCTTCGAAATAAGAAAGAATCGGGATAATAAATCTCGGAAGTTCCGACCAACAGGAGGTCTCTCTATATAGGTCTCTCTATCAAATAAAAATTAATTTAATTAAATTTTAGTAAAGAATATAGAAATGCTTTTTTGTCAGCATTCAAAATTAAAAATACAGCAATCATATCAACAGCAAAAATACCAACAATTAATAGTTTTAAAAATCCAAATTTAATTCAAAATAAAAATGTTAATAATAATAAAAGGCTTCTTCCCATAAATTGAATGAATGATTTTATATTTTGAAAATTATTATATTATACTTAAATTTTGTATTTAAATTTTTATTAAAATTTAAAAAATATTAAATGTTGAAAAATTAAAATTTTTTATTAAAAAATGAGTGGAAACTCTTAGAAACTGAATGACAACAAGTCTGCTTTTAAATTTTTTTGATTAAAAAATAAATTTTTATCAAAAAAATTTTGTTGGTCTTATTTCTTATTTATGTTTTATTTACTTTTTATTTAGTTTTTTATTAATTTTTTATTTATTATTTTTTAAATTTTCAATTAATGTTAGGAAAAGAAAGATCCAGCTGGCTAGCATTTAAAACGCTCACTAGGCGGGGGTTTAAGATCTATTAAAAGAAAAAGTGAAAGCAGCGCCCCGGTATTCAGTTGGTAGAGCACTTGTACGTTGTGAGCTAAAGCCCCTAGCAATAACTCGAAGCCTGCCCGGAATTAAACTTTTACTTCGCTATTACTTTAATTTTAAATCATTTATGTTTCTTAATATTATAAATAATTTTTGAAACCGTCTCATCATCAAAAATCTAATAGAGCACCCTGCATTTAAATTCAAATATTTATTTTATAATAAATTTAAAATTATTAAAAATTATTTTGATAAATTTACGGTTCATTTGTTTCAGTAAATTTACTTGCCTGACTGAATTCCTCTTTATAAATATAAATAAGGTGTGTTTTTTAAAATTATTATAATTTATTTTTAAATAAAATGTAAAAAATATGGATATATTTTTTAAATTTTTTAAAAACAAAATTATTTTTATTAAATAAATATTTAATGAATTTATTTTTTATTTTAATAATTTTATTTTTTAATAAAAAATTAATAAATTGTTTAAGTTGTTATGGTATTTTTAATAATTTTATTCAAAAATTATAAAAAATAGTTACATATTTTAGCTTGTCACTTTGCCTACACAAATTCTTTAGAAGCATTCAGAATTTCAGAAGATGGTTGGTGTGTGAATGATACTTTACTTGTAATTGGAAAGGATGAAGTTATTAGACCAGTAAATAGATTTAATATTTTTTAAGTTAATTTTAAAATATAGTTTAAAATATAAATTCAAAATATTATTTAATAGGAAGGAAGGTAAAATAATCTGTTTAAAATTTTTAGGATTAATGAAGGGATTCGGTCAATCAGTCTAGACTTAACCTATTGTTTACCTTAAATATATTCTTGTAATAAAGCACAGTTGTTAGGTTCTGAATTTATGCTGCTATTCCTTGGACAATACCACAGTCCGATAAGTAACATATATTTGTTTTATTCCTATATTACGGACTCCCTTTGATAAAAAATAAATACATACCAATGCATAGTAGATAATAAGCTGTAGCGGCCAATATACATAGTATCTGACAATAAATTAATTTTCAAAATTTAGTGTGCTCCGTGGGAGAAATATTGCTCTGTATGTTTTTTGTAAATATTATTTATTAAATATTTATTTTAATTTATATGGAATTAAAGTCACATTCATAATTTTAAGATAAATTTCATAATTTTAAGATAAATTTTTTTCTAATAATTATTTTCCTAATTCAAGGCTTATAAAATTGTTTCGTTTATATTTTTAATTTATAAGTATGTATGTATAAAATATGCTTGAAAATTAAAATTTATTTTAAACGTTGATAAAAAATTCGCATTTTTAAGACAACAATAATAACAATACAAAAATCGTTTACTTCAATTAATCGTCAATGTGCTGAAGAATGTTCGAGAAATTGTGAATCAACTGGTTATGGACAAGACCAAGTTTTTACAAATTAAATTAAAATTTCAATTTAAAATTAAAAAGGTAAGTTGCACAGATTGTTGTGAAGAAAATAATTGTAATAGTAATTTTACTCTTGAATATTATTATTCTGTTATGGGAAGGCAATTCACATCTTGGACACGTCCTGTAAAGAATGAAGCTAAATTTAATGAGAAAAATGGATTAAAATTTTTATATTGAATATTTTTTAAATTAAATTCTTTCTAGCTTAAAATATTCGAATTTGAGAATAATAATTATTCAATAATAATTATATACAATTTAATAAAGTTTATTTTTAATTAAGGTTTGGTTTAGGTTGGGAACAAGTTTGATCAAGACAAGCTTGAAAGGTAAAAAACAAATAATTATTTATATGGTTAAGGAATGACCAGTAGAAGGTTAGATGAGAAATTGTAAAACATATAAGAAAATAAATTATTTAAATAAATGAAAGTTAATTTAAGATCAAAAAATGTTTGTTTTGAGGCATTTTTTTAACGAGTTTGGTTTATTATAGGAAATTAGATAACAAACATTTGAAATATATTTTGGGGCAAAAAATATTTGATAATAATACGTTTAAAACTATTGGTTTAGTATTTCATTTCACATTTGAGACATCTATTCGTATTTATTTTTATTGTTTATTATATTTTCAACGTTTAATGATAATATTGGAAGGGTAAATAATGAACAACAACGAACATTATAAAAACAAAATTATACACTTCTGGGGAGAAAGAAGGTGGCATTACAGTAATCGGACTTTTAAAATTTGTTGGTTTATCAGAGTTAGCCGAAGCAATCTAAAATTTTTCAGATGACACTGGTATAAATTTTTTAAAACAATATTGTATTTTTTAGCTGCCGAGCATATGTTTGACGAAAGTTTCCCTACACAATTCACCTACAATCAATATGAAGTCACACTAAGCAAGAAAACATTTAATGAAGATAGTTTATTCACTGAAATATAAATGTAATGAATATAAATCATCACGAATTTTGTATTTACAGTAAACATGGTTGGATTCATTTTATTACAGGCATTACTGAATAATAAACAATTACATTTGTCTAATTGTAATGAATGATGATAAAGTATTTTTAAATTAGCTATATTAATTTATTTAGGTCATTAATTAGGGGGTACATATTATAAGTATATTATTTCACATTTTATTTTTCATTAATTTCAGATCCGCAAATGTCGGTCCGCAAGTGCAAATCTGCAAGTGTCGTTTAGCTGTAATAACGTCAATTTTTGAAAAAAAACAATTCTAACAGCATTGATCTCGTTTCTAATTTTTTTAAATGATGAAATCTTTTGGCCACAAGGTTAAGGATGAATTTATTAAAATTATTTTTTGCATAAAACATTAACTATAATTGAGAGAGAGAATGTTCCTTTCCTCTATTGAAAAAGAGATCTCGGTAAATTTATCTCGGTAAAATTTATTGTTTGAATGGGAGTGATTTAATTATGTACATATTGTTGAAACAAAAATAAAATAAATTATTAATTTAGTTATATATTATTAATTTAATCTTAAGTTAATAACAAACAAAACGTTTAAAAGAATCTAATAAACAAATAATCATTTCAAATATTCAAAATGAGATCCGCCCGCTGAGGTACACACATCCAAACGCCTCAGAAAATTTCCTTTTATGGTCGCGCACAATAACAGAACTTTACGGTGCTACTGATATATGTATTGAAAAAATCCAATAGCCGAACACTATTGAAACTAATTTAGAAATATGTAAATTTATTTCAATATAATATTTTATTTTAATAATTTAATTTTGAAATTATTTATTTCATAAAAAATATACGTCAAAAAGTACTTCCTCTAAAATAAATTCTTTTCCGGAAATTAAATACAAAAATATGCACTTTTAATATTAAAAGTGCAATTATTTATTTGACAAAAAGAAGAATTATTTTTGTCAAATTTCCTTTAAATTTTATTGATAATATTTAAAATGTCGGGAAATTCAAAAAAGAATTTCATAAAATAATTTAATTAAATAATGCACTTTTAAAAAAATTTAATTTAAAAAGGGATAGAAAAGTGCTTATTTTATTCATTAAAACTCAAAATTGGGTCTTGAAAATTATAAAAAAAACTATTATTTTTTGTCTAAATTAACTTTAATAAGATAATTAAAATATTAAATATTTTTTTCATGAAATCATTTAATTATTTTATTTCAATATTTTTTACATTCCAGTGTGGAATTCTTGGTGAGTTATTAAATTATCAGTTGTGTAATAAATTAAATAATTTAAAGTGCAAATAATAAAAGGAAAAAATATTTCAGAATTTTTTTAAAATTTTTTAGAATAAAATTTAATTAAAAAATTAATAACCACAATAATTAAATATTTAAAGGTCTTCTAAAATTACCTTTGAAGGAGGATAAACTTTTGGTTGAAAATTGGAAAGTTAATGTTGTATATTTAATTCAATACCCAAGAATTGAATTATTACCTAATTTCTCAATTAAATGTTTATTAATTGAAAGTTGGCTAAAAATTAAAAATATTCAATTTTATGTAAAATTTAAAAATTAAATTTAAAATTTAATTTTTGTTTAGAGAATTAATAATCATTTTCTGCTTGGCTCTCCAAAATTTGGAACTGTTCCTTTTGTTCAATTTAATGGAATTTATATTGAGGGGTCAGAAAATATAATGAATAATTTAAATCATTTGGGACAGAAATTGGCAAAGAATGAAAAAGAAATTGAAATTAATCAAATTATTGAGGAAATACTTATTCCGTTTGTTTATTATAATAAAAATTAATTAAATTTAAAAATTAAAATCGTGACGGATAATTTCTTATAAAAGTTTTGTTGTGTTCGCGCTTGTAAAAAAATATAAAAGAGAATAAATAACTAGAGACAGGAATTTTAAGCACGATAAAGCTAAAAATAGGCGCCAATATAGGCACTAACAAACTGCCAAAATAGGCACTAAAATCTGAAAAAAAGGCAAAATAGGCAGTATTTTTTCGAGATTTTCTGATTTAAATTGACTAATTTTATCAAAAAAGATTAATTTAAGCAATAAAATGTTAAATAAATTGATTTCGACGATCAGAATTATACAGGGTGCGGCAATTTTTCCGCCACTTTTGTTTTGGCCATAGCTGGCTTCAAACTTAACAAAAATTCATAATTTTTTTTATTTTAACTCCAAGACACTTAGCAATTTTTGGTACCAAACAATGGAAATTTAGTTCAAAGATTAAATTAATAAGCAATTATAGGCAACGATAAAAGTTGTTTGAAATCAGATTTCATAAAAATAACGCGTGATTTGGACGTTTCAGCATCAGGCCTATTTGGGGAAAAAACATACATTTGCCTAAAAATCCTGTTTCTATAAATAACCCATCATCTGGTTGGATGGTCTCCTATTCAATGAATTTTTCCACGGCATGAACATTATACTATTCAAGTCAAGCATGTTATTGTCCATATTTATGTAGAGAATAAAATAAGATTCAGTCTAAGGTGTTTGCCGTCGGAAACTAAGACTTCATGTAGACTATACATATAATGTTCTAATTTAAAAATATTATTTTTTATAATGCTTAGACAAATAATTCAAAGTAATTTAAATAAATTAATTAATTTAAGTACTTTAATGAATGACCGTTTAACAAAAATCAAAGGAAAAAGTGGATTAGAATTTTTAATCTCAGATAAAGGGATTAGAGAACAATTAATTAGCTTTTTGCCTCAATTTTGGGATGACAAACAAATAACAATTTTTACAGAAAATTATCGTTATATAATAATAATTGGAAGAAATTTTTGGATAGATTATTTTAAATTAAATATTGGGGATAGAATTAGTGAAGAAGATGAAAGGGAAATTAAAATTTTTATTAAAAAATATATTACCCCATTTTTGGATTCTCGTTCACATTCACTAGGGTTGGATGATTGGCAAAGATTAAATAAATGGATAAATGAATATATAGATGGAATTTTGAATAATTATTTTATTGGCGATGGAGAAAAAAGTTTAAAATTTAAGGTTAGATAATTTAATAAATAAATTAGTTTATAAAAAAAAATAAATAAAAACATTTTTAATTATGAAAAAAAATTCTTTGTTAAAAATTTCCATTAAAAAATTTCATATTTGCATACATATATTTTAGTATTTAGTCACATTTCAGTCTATCTTTTGCGCTTTTTAGTCCATATAAATCCTAAACCTACATATCTATGAGTATTTCTAACCGCCTGTCGAGATTCACTGTCCTGACAAAATTAATTTAACACACCAAAACCGATCCGACCCTTCCCTTAGTATATGAATCTAAAATAATTGTCTTATTTAAATTAATAAATTTTTAGTTAAAAAAATATTTGGATAAAATAAAGTCTGACCAAAGAAATACTCAATCAAGCCAGAAATCTCCAAATTTACTTGAACAAAAATTTAAAATAATCTCTGAAAGATTAATTCAAAATAAAGGGTTTCTTTTTGGTGATAAAATAACTCGAGCAGATCTTTCTCTGTTTTCCGTTCTTGTTCAATATTTTGAGGGGCCATTAAATGATGAAAATTTGAAAAATTATTTTATGAAAGAATCGGAAAATAAATTAAATAAAAACAGTTTAAATTATTTTGATGGAAAAGGAAAGGGAAAAGTTGAAGAAGAAAAAGAAGAAGATGAAGATTTAAATGAAATTATTGAAGTAAAAGAAGAGAAAAAAGAAAGCAGTTCTAATAAATTTGAAGATGATTATGTTAATTGGGAAATTCAAATACTTTTTGAATTTATTAAAAAAATAAAAAAACATTTAGGGTTTGAAAATAATGAAAGATGGAAAGGAATACAAGTAAAACCGTGGATTTTAAATTATGAAAATGAAATTAATTTGACTGAGAAATATAACGGTAATTTTATGATTAAGAGGGGAACTGCTCATGGAAACGGATAAAATCAGAATACCCTCGGATATACAGTGTCTCCGGAAATGATATAACCACTTGAATTTTTTGTTATTTTATCGGAACGCAAATTAAATGTTGCAGATAGAATAAGAATTAAAGAAGATAATAATTTGAATATAGATATTTTATTTTAACACCTCAAATTTGGGTAATTAAACCAATTTAATACCATGAAAATGCGAACTAAAAATGAATGTGAAAATGTGTGAATCAATTAAATAGCGAAATGATAAAGTTATAATTTTCTTGTGTCCGAATCAGGATCACCCGGTAAAAAATGTGACGGCCAATCATTGAGTTGTCAAGGTTGCTCCTTACTGTTCTCTTTCCCTTTGCCAAAGCCTGGGGGATCGGTCGCAGTAGGGAGCATTTTCCAGAATGTTGTTGGTCCCAAGTGGGAAATAGACAATGAAGTTGAGATTAGTAGTGTTGAATTATTTATATAGTGGGGGGATTGATGATTATCTTCTTTGAAATAATTTATTTACATTAATGAATATTGTGAGAAATGTTGTGGGATCGCGAAATCGAATTTGCATAATAGGGAGAAATTGTTGTCTAATCGCTAAAAAATTTTCATTTCTATAAAAAAAACTTGGAAATTGATTGGAATGTGTGCACAGCCAAAGGAAGCGGGTGTTTCACGTGCACACACAAAAATAAATATATTTATACACGGTACCCTAGTCTCGGGTGTTCGCGACAATAACTTTCTTGAAACATTCAAAACAGAATTATCCTAGTTGCTTATATCATTTTCGGACACACTGTATCTGGACACGAATATCAGAATTCAAGTCCATGAGCAAGTCTGATTAAGAGTATAAAGTTATCTAATAGCTAGTTATGCTAGGAAAAGTTAAGATTTTTAGACCGTTTGAGTTTAAGAAAAAAATCCTATAATATGTATAGAAAAATTTTCGGAAGGTCGAGCCTTTGTAGTGAGTATTTTTACTCTCTTTAACATTATGAAATTGACGAAATGAAGATTGAACATTTTGAGGGGTTTTGTCCAGTGGGACTTTTTAGTGAATCAAATAATAAGGGCATTTATTTCAATAAAACATTTTATTTCAATAAAATCCGGTCTCTAGTAATAGTATCAAAATAATATTTAAAATAAAACAAATTTTAGGTCCTTTCCTGGTTGAAACAGATGAATTAATTGATATTGAAAATCTTTTGGAATATAACAAAGTTAAACATGCATTATCAATATTTGTTGGTAAAAAACGTCTCGAAAAAAGTAATAGTAGCAACAATAAATGGGAAAAAATGAAGGATGCAATTAAAGGAAATTCTAAGCCATTAATTAAAGATTTTGATGAATTAATTCAACAAATTTTGAAAAAACTTTTTAATTTTATTGATAACAATTTTATTGATGAAGATGAAAGAAATGCCTATGGAACTATTTGTTTAAATTATTTAGCTGCTTATCTGTGCAATCTTGGAAGAAAATTTAACGAAAAAGATGCTGAAAATTGTAAAAAAAAATATTTGCAAAATGCAGATATTAGACGCTCGCAACACGGATCATTAAATAGCTTAAATGTTGGAATGACAACCCTTGGAACTCTGGCAAGTCCTAATTTAGGTTAGTTTTTTTGATTTCAAGATGTGCCAAGTCTTTAGCCTCTGAACTTTCGGTATTTGGTAAAATTGAACATAAGTATCACATATTCACTGACAACTTATAAACAGTTAACAATAAGTTCACAATAAGTAGCCGTTATACTAATTTTTTAAATTAGATATAGAAACAATCTGGTCTGTGTTTTTCTATATAACTATTTTGTTCTTATACATATTAGACATGTATGTAAGTTGTGTGTTTGATTTTTTTGTGTTTTTTGCACGCCACTGTGTTCCAGTTTTGTTGGTAAAAGTGTCAATTAATTCAGTGTTTAGACAAGTTTTGTCGAAAATTTGACAAAAGAAAATATTTATTTTAAAAGAAAAATAAATATTAATATTAGAAAATAGGGGTAAATGTCCAGCTCGCATTCTACCTTCTGCAAATGCTGTCCGCAAAGGCATTCTGTAAAAGGCATTTTTGCTGCATTCTCCTCGTTTTCTTCTTTCCTTTAATTTCCTAAGAGTCATCAAATGATTGGTTGACAGCTTGGCGTAATTTTTTGTGGCGTCGTTCATGAAAATGTTTAATTTACAAATAATTTAATAAAAATTAAAAAATATAAATTAGTGATGGAGTTGTAGATCAGGGGAACCTTTAACTAGGCTGGGTTGTAATTTTGAGAAAATTGGTAGACCAAAAATCCAGATTTTCTTCTGTATTAATATGTAAGGATATTGTGGATATTTTGTGGTATCTGCCGATATTACATATCCGTATCTATGAACATCCCTGGTTTTTAATATTACATTAACTACAACCCAGCCTAGTTAAAGGTTCCCTTGATCTACAACTCCATCACTAATTTATATTTTTTAATTTTTATTAAATTATTTGTAAATTAAACATTTTCATGAACGACGCCACAAAAAATTACGCCAAGCTGTCAACCAATCATTTGATGACTCTTAGGAAATTAAAGGAAAGAAGAAAAGGAGGAGAATGCAGCAAAAATGCCTTTTACAGAATGCCTTTGCGGACAGCATTTGCAGAAGGTAGAATGCGAGCTGGACATTTACCGAAAATAGGTACTTAATGAAAATAGATAAAGCAAAAAGTAGGAAATAGGTGGTAAACAAAGAAGAATTATTAACTAATTATAAATGTTAACACTATTAAATAAGCACAAATTAATTAGCTGTTTTAGAATCCTCAATCATTCAGCAAAGATATGTTGATAAAGTATGTAAATTCTGCAAAATAAATACAATAGAAATAGCTTCAAAAGTTATAAAAGAATATAACGAAGTTAAAATCGAGAAAAGTGTTGAAAATGCAATTAGAGAAGCTTTGATAATTGAAAATTTGATGAATCTGAACATGAAAAATAATGAATCTGAACAAATTGAAGGAAAGAATAATGACATTATATAAAATGTGGAGTTTTAATTTGATGGAAGTTAAAGTTGAATATCTAAAATATTTAATTATTATGATTTAATTACAAGAAAATTTTTTGTTAATAATCACATTGTATAACTATAGAAAAGATAATTTTGTGATTTAATATGTATAATTATAGTGTAAATGAAATTTCTAAATATAATTCAATGCTGACTGGTGGGCGAAACACAAAAAAAAACAAACATTAATTTCCAAAAACATATATTAAAGAAGTCTGTCCTACAGATGTGTAAACGACAAATTGTGATTCCGCGCGTTTTTTATTGCGGTCATGAGTTTTGGCTAACCTTTATGAACACAAATAGAACATTTAAAATAAATTTTATTTTAACTGGGAAATTTATTTAAAACTAATTCAAAAAATGAACAAGTAAAGTATAGATAAAATATTTGCAAATTCTTTTAATATTTCAATTTATCTTTACATATATTATTATAAACTTCATTAATATATAAATTAATTATTTAAATATATCACAAGTACATTTATAGAAATTAGAACAGATTCCTTTAACTGCAAGACAGTTTCGTGTATTATCTTCATCTGAACAAACATCACAAATAAATTTACAAATATTATAAATTGGAGTCAAAGTATGGCATTGTTGTTGGCAATAGACGGATATTGGAATATATAGGAATAAAAGTATTAGAATATTATTCATAATTTCCTTTAATATATGTAAGTATAAATTACTTAACCTAAAAAAATTATAAGTTAACTAAAAATACTAAATTTTGTGATCGAATTAAAGAAAATTTAAAATACTGGATTTTTCTTTTATTAAATTTATTTTATTTACATTTGTATTTATTTATTTAACTGCCTATGCTTTAAAGGAATAAAAATTACATTTTCATCATACATTAATAAAATCTTTATTGCTTTTAATATTTATTTTGATAAAATTAAAACAACATTTATTGTTGACATGAGGAAAAAGGAAGTAAATGTTTATTCGAATTAAAAATGTTAATATAATTAAAGATTCTTTTTCTAAAATTTAAATTAATTATATTTTAGTTAGCTTTAGTATAAATATTTTATCACAGATTTCCTTGTGTCAAAACAGAAATTCGTGTTTTGTTTGCATAACGTAAATTGTTGATTATTTGAAATCTCCGGATATGGAACCGAACCGTAAGGTTAGGATATCATAGTAGAAAAATGTAATACATAGACTTGAAAATTTATGCATTTACTGATAAAATAAAACATGAAAAATGTATATAATTTTTCAAAAATAAAGGTAAATCGAAAATTCTATTACGACGTTTTTGATACAGAAATTCAAAATTTTGAAATAATTGTCGAGCTTTACTCAAAATAAAATTATAAAATTATTCTAAATTTATTAATTGTTAGGATCTCAACCCAGTTCAAATGACTTCCAACTCTGAATATGTTCAATTCCAGATGTTTAAGAATTCCAGAACGTTAAGACTCAATTTTCCCAGATTTAATTTATTGCTTTAACTTTAATTATTTTTCCAATCATTGTTAATGTCAGTCGCGATCCTTAGACTTTGTTCATTTTTCCTTCCTTTTCTTGTAAAAAGCTTTGATAGAGTTAATGTTAAAAGGAACGCTCACTCCGATCGGGGAGAAATCACCGCTCGAGGTGAAGAGGAAAAGTTTCCGCTTATTACACCGCTTGGGAAATTGAAAACCATTAATAACAAAAAGGAAGGAAATCCGAACAATAAAAAGGCTCAATAAAAATTTAGAATAATTTTATAGTCTTATGTCGATGCGAGCCTCGATAATAATGATTTCCGACATTTATTATATCGAGTTCCTGTAAATACGGCATTTTCGATTTACTTTTAAACATAATTATAAATGTATATGCATTAAAATATAATTTATGTAATTCTATCATACTCAAAAATTTTAAAATTTGTAAAAATAAAATAGAAATTTAAAAAATAAAAATAATCGTACATAAAAAAACTTAAAATTTACAAAGTTGATTTTTAAAAAATAAATTTGCTTTACCCCAACCCCATTTTTAAATAAAAAAATTTAAAATAAACCACGACATTGGACAAAGACATAACACTCCGACTTTAAACCCCAATAAAAGAGCTCCATGCCTTTCATATCCAACATGATATCCAACTATCTACATCTTTACTAATCTCCTCCTTTCTTTTTTCCTCTTTTTGGAATAATATTTTCCAACTCATTTCTCTTCAAATATTTAAAGCCAAGCACAAAATCATTCGAAACTTCTTTAGTTTCCATCTCAAAATTTTCTTTCAAATTTTTCTGATAATTGGCTAATTTCATTTTAAACTCTTCTTTAATTTCGTTTTCTTTTTGCTCTAAACCAGCTACCCAAATACTGCACAAACTTTCCTTAAAAATAATATTATTTTAAATTTAATCTAACAAAATTACCTCCAACTTTTTATTCATTTCTATCAAACTTTTAGGGCAATCTTCAGAATCTAACAATTTTAACGGGTTAATATGAATATATTCAACATCTTCCAATTTTTCCAGTTCATTCTGAAGCTTTTCTCGAAGACTTGATTCAACATAATCACAAAACTGAGGTCCTCTTAATGAATCATTTGAATGTGAACAGATTATTAGCAATAAATTCTCATACTGAAATTTATTTTTATATTTTTTTATTTCGGTTAATTTTTTGATTTTTTTATATTTTCTTTGACGTTATAATAATGTTTAAAAATGTGATTCTGTGTTTTATAATTTATGAAACGGAACGGGCCATTTGTTTTGTCTAACACAAAAACAATAAATCATATATCCTGCGAGAGTACATGATAGCAGACTTTTTTCCAACTGGATGAATCACGTTCGATCACCCATTAACAACCCGTTTATAAACTTATAACCTGCTCAACAAATGTTTTATCATTTCCCAACCATTTAAACCATTTTTCCTTCATTATATCATCAGAGGATTCTTTCGCTATTTCTTCATTCAAATAATTTAACTTTTCAGAACCTTAAAATTTTTTACAAAAAAATCAGAATTATTTTAAATTAAAAACCGATTTTCATTTGACGAAGAATTATTTTTTCTGTTGATTTGTTTAATTTTTGTAAAACATTTTCTTTATAAAATTCAGAATTTAAAATTACCCATTTAGTATTTGGATAATTGTGTTCATTACTAAAATTAATTTCAAAATTTTCTTTCATTTTCTTTTTGTGAATTTCAATTTTTTCTTCAAATTTTAATTCAAATTTTTTCTCAAAAATTAAATGAAAATGCCCCAAAATTTTCACCAAAGGCAGACTTTTATGTTTAACGAGCAAATAATAAGCCAAGCTAGTTAAAGCTTTGTCATTCAAAAACCCAAAATTTTCACCATAAATTGAATGATCTTAATTAATTAGTTATTTTTTTGGAAATAATTATAATTAAATTTACTTTTGCACCACTTTGTGAGTGAAACAATTAATGTTTTAAAACGTTCTCCCAATTTACTTTGAAGGGACATCATCGTTAAATTGAAATAATAATCTTAAAATTAAATTTTAGTCAAAAAGTGTTAGTAATTTAACTTTATTTATAAAAATGTTTTAATTGAAAGATTTAAAGTTATGTTGAACAATCTATATTAGAGATCGGACGGAAGGGTCTGTCGATATTTTTCGATAAATATCGTAAAAGCCGGGCTCAAATCTACATATTTGAAATAAAGATTAAGTAAAAGCTTAGCACACAAAATTTTGCTAACACTTTTCTCCTTATAGAATCATGAAAGTGAAATTTTATTTGAAATCAACTCAGAATAAAGTATTGCAAATTTTAAAGTACTAATAATTTTTACATTGAATATTTACCAGATAAAAATTTAGTTGTAATCTGTGTGTTCATATTGATATTTGTTGATTTTAAAAATTTTTTAATCGTTTCTTCAATCATTTTTTCATTTTTAGAATTAATTGAAGAATAAATTTCATTATTCACTATAGCTAAATTAAGATTAACTTCAAGCCCATTAAATTTAAACTTAATTGAAGGCCAGCCATTTAGAGTTTTGACAAGTTTAGTAACTTGAATATTCTTTAAAATTTTTAAATTAATTAATAATTATAATTAAAAATAACCTGACAAATGTAACAATAAAACGACAAATCATTACATTCATTTTTTTCTTTTAAATTACAAATGTTTTTCCCTAAGAAATTCTCTTTAATTATTTTAATATTTGAATGATTATCATAATAAAATAAAGCAATTCCTTCAATTGTCGGATCCTCGAGTATCTCAATATTTAAAATATTTGTAATCATTATATTATAGTTTCCAGTCTAAATAAATTAAATTTTGAGAAATGTGCATGTACAATAAAAAATTTTTTAGATTTAAAGAATGGTTTCGATTATCTATAAAGAATTCAATAATAAAAATAATTTTAACAAATTTTTTAGAAATCTCAAGATAGTTTTTTCGGTCATGAAAAATTATCGATATATACATATGATTTCAGTGATGTTTGTTTTAGAAAATCCTTAGGCTTACTTAAATCAAAAAAAAAATGGATCAGCCCAAAAATTTTACTTAATTAAATTTTAATTCAACTAATCACAAACTCAATTAATAACTTACCAATTTGTATAATTCAGATAAATTATCATTCAAACTTTCCTTGTCTTGCTTTTCTTCTTTTATTTCTTTCAATATTTCATTTATCTAAAATTATTTTTTAAGAATTTCTCTTAATATAAGTATTTATCGAAATTCAACCGATTTTTCAGCTAAAATTTCTTGTTCTGCTTTTGAAAGTTTGGTCAAATCTTTATCAACATTTAGTTTTTCTTTTTGGAAACCATCAAAACCTTTATCCAAAATATCCAAAATCTCCTTTGTCTTGCTTGATGATCGCAATATAAATGTTAATTGCTTAATTGTATCTTTATCGTTGTTAACGTACAACTCTAAAAATTAGAAAAAAGAGATTGGAATATTATCGAAAGTATGGTTTATAGGGAAATTATAGGGAAATTTTTATTTATTATCGGGAAATTAGTCTTTGGCTAAAGTATCACTAAAACTACAATTGTTGACTTGATTCGTTCTGCCAAAATTAATTATGTTACTTCAGAACACAAACTGTGTTTCATCCTCTTTTTTCACAAAAGATCAATCTCGATTATTTTAGTTTTTTTCATAACCGTTCCTTAATTAATACATTCAAGGTACCTTTTAATTTCATGCCAAATCCCTTCTTTTTATTAGTCCCGATCCAAGCATCACGATTTTCTAATTGTCCTTTCAATTCTTCAAAAACAAGTTTATCAATCCAGTTATCAAATTTTTCAATTATTTCTTCATCAATTTCTTCAGACTTTTTGTTTTCTTCAAATATTTCTTCAATTATCCATTCAGGAATTTCTAAATAATTAATTTCTTTTTTAATTTTTAAAAACATTCTCCCAATTTCTTTAAATAAAATTATTTTAATTTTATTTTTGTCTTCTTTAAAATATTCTAAATTAATTCCAAGATGTCCTTTAATATTTTTCCAAATTAAACTTAAATTTTTAATTGAGGCCCCACTCTCCTTTTTAGTTGTTAATTTATTAATTAATTTATCCATCCATTTTGTAGTTATCGAATAAATTAAATCAAAATAATTTTTCAGTTCATCTTTTTTATTTTTATCAATTTTTGTATTACTAATTATTTCAATAAAATATTCTTTTATTTTTGAATTATCTCCAAATTCTTTACTTTTTTCGAAATAAAAAATATTTTTAAAATTTGGAATTAAAATTTCCATTCTTTTTTTCATTTCTATATTTTTTAATAAAATATTCTTATTTTTCTTAACAAATTCTAAATGTTCTTCTTGTAAAAATCCTCGTTGTTCAATAAATGATATTTCTTGTTCCCCTTCATCTTCACATTCTTTCCCTTCCCAAATCTCCAAATTTTCTGTATTTGTTAACATTTCTTTTTTTGTTTTAATTTTTTCAATTTTTTTCTTTAATTCATCAAATAATTTTGAATTTATTTCTTTTACATTATTTAAAGTTTTTATTAAAAGAATATTAAATCTAATTAACAAGCAAACACATTTTGGGAGAGGATTTTCCTCTTGTAATTTGTTTGTTAAATTATTATTAAATTCTTTTATTCCATTCAAAATATTCTCTAAAACAATTTTATTTTTATTTATTTTCTTTAAATTTTCTTTTATTTCATTTACAATTTTAAAAAATATTTCTTTTAAAAATGACAATGCTATTCGTAATTCGGAATTTTTAGCATCCAAAGAGTTATTTTCACCTGACAAAAACTTTTCATAAAGATAAATTTTTGTTGATTCTTCCATTAAATCTGCAAAATGAACAAGTTTAAATTGGTTGTAGATTAGATTTTTTAATTGTTTGGAAAGGACTAGTTGTCTGGAACGTCCGAGACTCTAGTGTTCCCGTGTATAAACAATAATTCACATTACAAATTGATATTTATTTTCACTAGCGGAGTTGGTCGGCCTTCGGCCGCCCCACCCCGCTAGCAAAAACAAAACAAACCAAAAAACAAACTCCAAATCAACTTATCACAACCTCAAAATTGGCCCTAATCCAATCATAATCAAAAACCCGATTATCATGACATTGACCAGCATTAAAACATTTCCTGATTACCAATACATTTAACAAAGCAAAGCATCTAATAGGTGCAGCTGATAGGGTACTCACAGGCGTCGTGTCTCCGCTAGCATAACAAAACAATTCACTCCGCTAGCATAACAAAACAATTCACTCCGCTAGCATAACAAAACAATTCAACTCAAGATCCGATTCAAAAGCCTTTGGCCGGCCTTCTCGCTTACACATTTTTTCTCCTCAATTCTCCCTGCTTCACAATTCCCTCTGTTTAAATATTCCCCTGCTTCGCAATTCCCCTTGCCTCACAATACCGCCTGCTTTACAATTCACCTTGCCTCTCACAATATCGACTACTTCGCAATTCCACCTGTTTCAATATTCCGCCTGCATCACAATTCATCTTGTTTCAAAATTCCGCCTCCTTACCAATTCCTCTTGCCTCTCACAATACCGCTTGCTTCACAATTCCCCTTGTTCAATATTCCGCCTGCATCACAATTCATCTTGTTTCAAAATTCCGCCTCCTTACCAATTCCTCTTGCCTCTCACAATACCGCTTGCTTCACAATTCCCCTTGTTCAATATTCCGCCTGTTTCAATATTCCGCCTGCTTCACAATTCCCCTTGTTTCAGTATTCCCCCTGCTTCACAACTCCCCCTGTTTCATAATTCCCCTTGTTCACTATTCCGCCTGCTTCACAATTCCCCTTATTCAATATTCCGCCTGTTTCAATATTCCGCCTGCTTCACAATTCCCCTTATTCAATATTCCGCCCGCTTCACAATTCCCCTCAATATTCCGCCTGTTTCAATATTCC